TGGTTTGGATTTAGGAATCGGAGAGCCGAGTTCGAATTCCAGTCAAATCCCTTACATTCACTTACGTGCTAATACCCTTGGGAAAGGTATGAATCCTCTTCTTCTCCCTCTAGCTATGGCTAAATAGCAGGATAGGCCGGGTTCTATTGCCTTGGATAGCAACTGGTCTAGGAGAAGGACAATTCTGACTTCAAAACATGCGAAGGGTCGTTTTGGGGACCTTGTGGCACGTAGTGCACCAAGTCTCTGAATTCGGCACTTCAAAAGTGTGGATGGTCCTGCACGAAACCTTCACCACTATAATCAAATCTCATGTTGTCGGGCTGTCGGTTTTCTAGGAAGTGATCTGCTTGACCCCTCATACGTCGAATTCGACAGGAGAGTCGGTATATATATATATATATATATATATATATATATATATATATATATATATATATATATATCCAATGAAATTTAAACAACACAAAAGTAAAAAAAATACCAGAATTTCTTCTTTTTCTCCACATCTCATTCTCTGATTGAGCTTTAATCAGATTCATAGACGTCTTCTATTTTGTTGCGTTCTATATTGTCTCTGGATCACCACGCTACTACATAAAACGGTATCAACGAAAAGGACCATTTCTTTTTATTATTTGTTTTATTAGAAAAAAATGATGGCAGCTTGGATTCTAAGAGGCTGTAGGAGGAATGATGTTGGCTCAGCATCCCTCCACCGGTGGTCTTAGCCGGTCGCTCACCTGGGTGTGTGTAGCGTATCGACGCTTCAGAACTCTTGAGGCCCTCTGTTGAATTCGCCCCGTTTTGGACTTATATCCCAAACCCAGACAAAGGTAATCCATCACTGTCAGAATACCACGCCTATGAAGCACTCTGGCCAATTGCTGACCATCCTGCCCTGGTCTTGGCATTCTGTAATTCTTATCATTATGTAAATATAGATAAATCTTTATTGATTCGTTTCTATTATTTTCCTTAACAATATGACAAAATGATACATTTGATAACGAACTGTTCATTCCGACCTCCAGCGTAAAATGTACATGGTCGGCCCTTGTCATGATAGAAGGCATGCGTGTCTAAGTGTTCCCAAAAGCGAAATCGTCTGGAGTTCCAACTTCTGTAGGGCCAGCCATGGCGGTAAGCTCGAGGAGAGACTGGGCTTAACGTAACTAAACCACGAAGATCCATTAGATCTGCAAACCTAAGTATTTTAGCATTCCTACAAGAGACAAAAGTGTTAATGTCACATTAGACTTTCTATGTTGTTTTTTTTGTTTTTTTTTTTTTTTTTTTTTTTTTTTTTTTTACGGCATATCAACCTCAATTGGTTATTTAATGCCGGCAAGATTTTTATTGCTGGTAATATTTTTTTCAAAAAAAGTATGTCTGGAAATATTTTTCCAAAAATGTATTTTCCTCAAAAATGTGTTGCTGGTAAATATATATATATATATATATATATATATATATATATATATATATATATATATATATGTATGCATATTCAAAAATGTATTGCTATTGCTGGTAATAATGTATTGCTGATAATTTTTTCTTCAGAAATTCATCGGTAGTAATATTTTTTTCAAAAAATGTATTACTGGCACTAAAGCCTAATTTTACACTTTCATGGTGTTTTTAACCAAGTTTGGGTGTTAACTATTTGCTCATACCTGGAACCCTAACAGGTGCTACCACCCCGGGTCAGGGTGATCTGGGAACACCAGCAATTAAGAGGTGGTTCCACGCTTCTCAAAACCTCCTGATCAGAGGCCTTGCAGTTGGATTTAGTTTATCGTTTTACCCAGGGTGCCTCATCTGGGGGGAGGGTCTTATCCCTCTGCAGAGGGTGTAGTCGGCATATTCTGAGGCCCCAGCCGACAAGGCATCTTTTCTGTATTGTTCTAAGCTTGGTTATAAATGATTCACAATTAAAACACACATTTTACAACCAGTTTTAACCACTGACAATATTATTTTCTTGCTTTTGTAACTATAACATTCAAAAATTAAAGTAGTAGTCACAAGAAAACAAATCGAAAGACAGAAGAATAGAATTTTTATGATATTTCGGTGAAGATAAAACATGTCATGTTATTAATTTTTGAAACGATACCTGTTGTAGCATACCGACGGACGGTAATGGGTATGTCCCCATTCGCATAAATACAGTAGTAAATACTGTATGTTGATCTGCAGTTGGAGATTCGTCTCCAGCTGTTTTGATCAAACTCCCTGCGAGCAGAGAGGATCCCCTCGGGAAACAGCTACCAGATCCCGTTTTATATGGGGTTTACGAGGAATGTTTGGCCGAGCCTACGAACTCGGATACCCCACATTAAATTCGGCTTTGTGCTACATCTGACCGCGTGGGGCGATTGGTAGATATCCTGCAGGTGGAGAATCATCTCCAGCTGTGGTGGTCAAACTCGCTGCCTTCAGACAGAGAGGGTCTGCAGGCAAGTCTATGTCGAAGGGAAGAGTCTCGTCTCGGGGAAACAGCTACCCGACCCCGTTTTATACGAGGTCTCCGGGGAATTTTTGGCCGAGCCTACGGGCTCGGATAACTCTCATTAAATTCGACCATGTGCCACATCAGACCGCGTGGGGCAGTTGTTAGATTATCCTGCAATTGGAGATTCATTGTGGAATTCACTTGACTCACTTCTAGCAGTGGACTACTTCTACGCGTCGCTGTCGAATCTTATATGTGTTGTTCATGTCGTAAGTAATATCGTTTATTACCAGCCTTCGTGTGATTATTCTATTCAGTAACCTTCCCTCATCTTTGTTGCTTTTTATCGCAACACATCAGCCTTTTTAACATCCCACAACAGAAAAGGAACTGAATAAGTTCAGAATACGAATTACAGAACGTGTAAGCGACAAACACTCTTTTTTTAAAATAATTTCACCCCAAACAAGGCAATAAAGCCACTAAGACGCGAGGGACATCTGAGTGTAATAAAATATGAGAAAACATTATTAAGGAGAAAGAACAATAAGAGAACAAGAATTAAGTAAGAAGACAAAAGATAATGATTGACATTGCATTTACATTTTTGAAGATCAAAGTAAACTGGGGATCAAGAAGCCAGAAGAAAATTCCAAAAGCGAGAAGAGCGAGAGAAAAAGCTGTTAGCATAGAACTTCCGGTTATATCTAACCATTTCAACTGTAAAGTGATGAGACCTTGTCGCCAATCTAGTATCGTGCTTAAATTCATGATATCTAGGTACGAAAGCAGAAAGTTCATCAGAACAATTGTCATGAAAATATTTATAGAAAAGGCACAGAGTAGCTACGTTACGGAAGGGGGAAAGTTACTGAAGCCAAGATGCCAGGTCAGGACCAATGATGTATATTCTTCTTCGGGCCTTATCAAGAATCTCCAAGTACATAGCAGAAGCATCAAATCAGATGTGGCAGCAATATTCTAAGCATGGATGAAAGGTATACATATAAAGAGTAAACTCTTAAGGAAAATAGTAACAAAAAGAACGCTTATAGCCAGAATAAGAAAAAGACAGCTGAAATTTTGGGGGGCGCATATTAAGGGAGGGTGGCTTGGACAATTTGACACACGCAAGATCTATCGAAGGCAAAAGAGACAGAGGAATGCCACCTTCCTGTTTAGCTTATGTGAATGGAGTAGGGGTGGTAAAAAGACAAATATTACTCAGAGCTACACGGGATAGGAGGTTGTAGAGAGCCATGATCGCCAATGCCTTTCTGGGATACGGCAGAGAGAAGAAGAACCTTTGACGAGATTTGAATTCTTATCGTCTACCTAAAATGCCAATGTTTATAAAGAGCCACTAGTCGAAATTAATATTTAATCATATCGATACAACATTCCATATTGACGTTTTACATTTTCTAATAGACGTCTTGAGTAGCGACATAATTAACTTTTCTTCCTAATATTGGATTTACATTACGAAAAAAAGCTGCAAATATAAAAATGAAATGGGAAAAATCGCCAAAAATGAATAATAATAAATATCTAGAAATATTCAATCAACTTCCGAATATTACGTCTTATTACTACGAGATGTAAACAAACAGAGATAGAGGATGAAAGAAAGACAAGACTTAATTATAATGACAATGCTTCATCTAAGAAATTGAGCCGACTGCAGAATATTACGTCTTAATACTGCGAGGTGTAAATAAGCAAGCGAAAAGATGAAAGATGAGTCAAAAATTAATAATTATGACAATGCTTCTTCTAAAAACTGCAGACTATTTCGTCTTATTGCGACAAGTAAGAGAAATAGAATGAAAGGAAGATAAATCAAAAATTTATAATAATGACAATGTTTCATCTACGAACTTCAGACAAGTTCAGGTAATATCAGCGGTAAAAATACTAAAGACAAAAGCGAATGGAAACAAAATGAAAATGGCAATAGATTTGCATCCAGACACGTCGGACGCGCCAAAAGTTGTAAATTTTTTAATTTAATGTCGCAACATCTTCGACGACGATTCCACTCGGTGCAGAATTGTAACCGACGTTTTCGTTTATATTTTCACACCTGTCTGTCATATATATATATATATATATATATATATATATATATATATTTAAGGACATACACACATAAAATCTAACCCTTGTACATTGACTTTTTGGGGATTGCCACTAAATTTCAATAAAATGGAATTCCTGACACTTGAACTACTTAACACTTTGTTGTCATGAAGTACTTAACACTGCCTGCGATCTGTGTGATGGGGAAAATGAGATTTAATCATTAAAAATTTAAATGCAATATCATTCGCTTTCTACTGTTCTCCTGGTTAGTCTTCTTTTGGTCTTGCTCCTTAGTAAAGGTTCTGTTTTCTAATTCTTCCGCGCCCAGTAAGCCAATCTGCCATAGTGGCTTTATTGCCTTGCTTCGACCACAAGAGAAAAAAAGCAAAGTAGGGAAAGGGAAAGCAATGAAAAAGAAGAAAATAAGAAGGCAAAAAAGACGGAGAGACGGAGATTATTGCTGAGAAGAGGAAAAAAGAAAGCCGAGGCAAAGAAAAACCAATAAAGAAGAAAAAGAAGCACAAAAATAATCAAAAAGACAAAGAAAAAAGAAGGCAGATAAGGCAAAGAAAAAGCAATGAAGAAAAAACACAAAAGAAGAAAGCAAAGAAAAAGAAGAAGAAAAAGAAACACAGGAGAAGAAGGCAAAAGGAAAGAAAACAATAAAAAAGAAGCACAAAAGAAGAAAGCAAAAATAGAAGAAAAAAAGACAAAAGAAGAAAGCAAAGAAAAAGAACAAAAGAAGCACAAAGGAAGAAGACAAAGAAAAAGAAGTAAAAGAAGCACAAACAGAAAAACAAAAGGAGAAAACAAAGAAGGCAAAGAAAAAAAACACAAAGGAAGAAGAAAAAGCAGTCAAAGAAAAAGAAGCAAAAAAGAAGAAAGCAAAGAAAAAGAACAAGAAAAGAAAGTACAAAAGAATTAAGCAAAGAAGGCAATGAAAAAGAAGAATAAAAAGAAGCACAAAGAAGAAGGTTAAGAAAAAGCAAAGAAGAAAAAAGAGAAGGATTTTGCTTATTTCTTTTTCTTCTTCTCTGCCGTTATAATGCATGTAAGCAATAATTAATGAAGGTGTAATGAATTATGAAATATCGATTGATAGATTTCATGTTTACTTACTTGAACGCTGTCTCAATGGTTTCTCATGTATGTTTTTCTTTGCTTGTCGCTTTGATACTTTGTCGTATGTCGATTGTAAATCATACGATCGATGGTCTGTTTGGATTAAACTAAACAGCTTATTTTTGAAAGCGAGACAAGAACAAAACAGATAAGACGTGAAATAATCCCCAATCATGCAGTTTAAAATTTTGATCTCGCAATCTATTCTCATTAAAATCTCTCCTCACCCGGTTCACATCTTCCCCGGTCTTTTGATCAGGAGTAAATGTTTATCACGTGTTTCCTGTTTAGAACTGTGTTTCATGGTCTCTTCTAAAATCTTCTAATTCTCTTTTACTCCGTGATCTTTTAAACAAGAGTAGATGTTTTTCCCTTGTTTCCTATTTAAGTTTAGGTTTACAGTTTCTTCTAAAGTCTAGTACTACTTTATACTTTTAACGACTCAGCCTAACAATTTTTATTTACTGTTTTTATTCCTTAATAGGAGTAGATTGGTTCACCTAATGTCCGGTTTATACTCCTCCCGGATCTTTTGAACAGGTGTAGAATCTTATCCCCTGTTTCCTGTTTCAGATTCGGTTTCCTGTCCCTTCCAATATCTTCTTTCATTCTCTATCACTTTCCGGTCTTTTGAACGGGAGTAGAGGTTCATCTCCTGTTTCCTGTTTCAGATTCGGTTTCCGGTCCCTTCCAATATCTTCTTATATTCTTTTTCACTTTCCGGTCTTTTGAACGGGAGTAGAGGTTCATCTCCTGTTTCCTGTTTCAGATTCGGTTTCCGGTCCCTTCCGATGTCTTGTTTCTTTCTCTTTCACTTTCCGGTCTTTTGAACGGGAGTAGAGGTTCATCTCCTGTTTCCTGTTTCAGATTCGGTTTCCGGTCCCTTCCGATGTCTTGTTTCTTTCTCTTTCACTTTCCGGTCTTTTGAACGGGAGTAGAGGTTCATCTCCTGTTCCCTTGTTAATTTTGTGCTTCCGGTACCTTTTAAAGTCTTCTCATTTTCTTTCACACCCTTGTGTCTTATTGGCACTATCGCCTTGTTTCGGGCGAATTGATTTAAAAAAAAAACTCTGGATTGACAAGAAAAGGATAAAAAATGAGTGACCTTCTTCTTCTGTGTGTTGTGTCCCTTCTTGACGTGGGTAATCATGACTTTCAACATCCTCCTATCCTTTGTAGCTCTTAGCAACGTCACTCTCACCGTTCCGTCATTCATTCACATAAGCTCGTCAGTAAGTCGACCCGTTGACTGTTCTTCTATCCTTCGATATGCCCTATGAGTGTCAAATTCTCCTAGCCCTCCTTTATTATTATGTGTTCCGGTAATTTTCGCTGTCTCTTTCTGATTCTGAATATAAATATCCTTTTTGTATCGATTTTGCTTAAGACTTCTTCGTTGCTTACGCGCTCCGTCTATCGTATTCTTGGTTGTTTTTGTTTAGCGGCACATCAACACCTCTATGCCGAAATCTAAATATTCTGTATGCAATTTTCTTTTTTGTGCAGGAGGGGAGTAATAATGGTTTTAGGGATACAAGTTTTACTAATTAACCCATAACTGGTGATAAACAGTTGGATTAATATCTTTCCCAATGGTATTTGAGCGTCAGTGAATATAAGTGAATTAACGCATATAACGACCACAACTGGAAATGGAACTTGGTTTTCTGATTAACAATTCCGAACCGTTATCCATTACACCACTTACAGCACCTGTATTCTCAAGCGGTCACCCATCTAGATACTGACAAGGCTCGACGTTGCTTAACCTCGATGGTCATACGGAAATCGGTTTTTCAACGTGGTGATTATAAGCCTGCATAGTATTCGGATCCTCGACTTTAATGGCTCTATACCTGTCATCGAGGTTGTAAAATCTACATTTTCGCATGTGATATAATGACAACTAAGCAGATTGTTTTAAAAATAGTATGGAAATAGCTACATTTGATTTAAAATTAATTAAATATATATATATATATATATATATATATATATATATATATATATATATATTGGGTCGTTGGCTACTCTTATATGTCTCAAAATTGTGTCTGTCTTTGGGTAAAACAAAACTGGAAAAATATTGAGAGTTGTTCTGTCACGGGAAACAACTGCCCGCAGAAGTACCTCCCTCATTGCCGTAAAGAGTAGGAGATCGGTAGTAATACCAATGCCAGCGCGATCTAGTGTTGTGGGGTCTGTGTAATTTTTTAACATGGCCCGGGGCACGCGCTTAGGTTCTCCACATTTTAGCAAACTTGTACCACATCCCGACACCGTTGGGGGATGAGTAAATATCTAGTAAATATCTTTGCTACTTGATTTGCGCTTATTTTCACTCCCTGAATATCGGACTGTGATCAAAGTATAGTATCTGTTCTCTTAATCTGCAATGGTGATATTAACTGTTTCTTTATAAGACATTCATTGCTGGCGTCGGTTGGAATGTATAAAATCTTTCTATTTGAAAACTTTTCAGGAAAATAAGTTTCTCAGGTCCACTAATTGTTATTACTTTTTCCATGTGGATTTCCTTTTCTTGGAAGTTGTGTGGAATGTTAACATCTTGACTATGTCATTATTTTCTCTTTGAGTTACATGTGCTATGTATTGTTGTTGTTGCTGTTACTGAAAGTCCTCGAATGATATTGATTTGGTAGAGTTTTTTTTTCTGTAGAACCAGTTCTCGAGAAAGGAGGTTCCTCTCTCAGATTCACAGACTTCATTCGGTCATGTGAAGCCAATTTAACCCTTGATCTAAGAAAACAGTTGTATAGAGTCGACAGTTTAGATATTTCTGAACGGGTTTGGAGCCATTCATATAGATCTCTATGAAAGTATTAATCTGACGAAGATTATTATTATTTAAGAACATTAATGGAATTTTTAGGTTAATGATTCTGTTTTGTAGCAACTTGCGGTGTTGGGAGAAACTACTTATAGCTCAGTTTATTCTATGTTCAATTACTTTATATTCTATATTAGATTTGTTATATATGATCCACACATCGAGGTATTTGTAGAGTTTACTATTTACTAATGTTTGAGGAAAGGATATAAAGAAGGACGGGGATCCGGATCAAGGCATCTGAAGATGTCGATTGACATTACATTTGAATATTTAAAGATCATAGCTATCAAAGAAATAAGTAGGAGGAAGAGAATTCCACTGACGGTAAGTGTGTGAGAAGCTGTTGAAGTAGAAGAGGCGGTTACATTTAACTGTTTCGACATTGATAGGGTGGGACCGAGATGCCAACCTAGTAGCACGCTTAAATTCATGCAGTTTCGGAACCAGAGAAAGAAGCTCTTCAGAGCAGTTGCCATGAAAATATTTATAGAAAAGATAGAGGGAAGACGGGTGAAACTACTTATAGCTCAGTCTATTCTATGTTCAGTTTCTTTATATCCTATATTAAATTTGTTATAAATGATCCACACATGGAGGTATTTGAAGTGTTTAGTATTTACTAATTGTAAAATCTTAATTTTTACGATGAATTCAGTGTACGTATGTATCATTCCAATTCTAGATCATAGTTTCTGAAGCAGACGACATTTTATTCTTTTTTTGTTTCTTCGCCTTTCTTTTCTTTTCATCCAAACATAAAGACTCTCGACTGAAATTATATGACATTGGTCCCCTCTCGAAGAAGCATTTGCATAATCCAATTGTTATTTGTCATTCAAAGCTTGTTATGGTAAATCTCAAGAGTTTTTATAGCACGTAAAGTTAGCAAATGTAAGTGTTCCAAGAAAGAATTTCTCTTTCAATGGAAATGTTTTTTTTTATTCTTCTATTTACAGTGGCTTAAATACGTTGGTTGCACAGGGAATGGTGTTAAAAACGGACTATATCTCCAGACATTTTTGATTTTTACACGAAGCGTCATTTGAGACATATATTAAAGAATAAGGGAAAATTCTTACATATTTTTCGATATTAACATAAATTTATCAACAACGGCTTTTCATGACTTGAAAATATTTTTACATGTGCAATGATAAGATAAAGTACAAATAGGAAATGTTTATCAATCTAACATGTTTCACTTTTATTAAATATTCGTCAGAGATTGAGAGAAAGCAGAGGAAAAAGACAGACATTCTGGTATTTTGAATTTTGTGCGGTTTAGGAATCGAACCCCTCAAAATTGAAAAAAATAGAACTTCTGTATTTTTTGTCTTTGTTCTTTTCTTCTTATATATATATATATATATATATATATATATATATATATATATATATATATATATATATATATATATATATATGACAGGTGTAACATTGGAGGAATCTAGACTTTTCTCATACAGTCTCAGTTACGATGGACTGGTCATGTCTTGAGAATGTCTGATGAGAGGATACCCAAGATCCTAATGTACAGCCAGTTAGGTCAGGGCTACAGGAATGTAGGACACCCATGGCTAAGATACAAAGACAAGATGAAGAGCAACTTTGTCAGCTGTCAATATATCTCATAATTCCCTCCAGCGCTTAGCCTTGCAGCGGGTAGAATGGAGATCAACGTGTTTTAGTGAACTCAGCAGTTTTCAATCTGCTTGTCTGAATCGTCTTCAAAAAGCGAGGCTAAGATCTAAAAGGTCAGCCAATCTAACAGTGATCGCATCCCACAATCCTTACTCTTGCTTCATATGCGGCTTCCTTTGTAAATGACTTGCGGTCTTAAGTGCCACTTAAGATTATCGCACAAAATTTCCTAACTGAATCAATTAAGTTGTCAGATCCTTACACGCCGAAACCGACTAGAGAGTCTATCATATATATATATATATATATATATATATATATATATATATATATATATATATTGTTAGAAAATATACGTTCTCCGTCAGGATTCGGACGTGCGTCCCATAGGGGAAACCGACATTAGATCTTACATGCCTTGACTTCTCGGTCTAGTAAGACCTCCTGATAAAACACAGCCCAAATAATACTTTTGGACACATATCTTTCCCGATTCCCAAAATATACATATCTGAACTGTTTCGCATCCTAACGTTAACAAAGACAATTTTATAGCAAATCGATTAAATCCGACACATTTTTCATTTTTTTTTTGTTTTGTTTTTTGTTTAATATCAGTATCCAGTAAAAATTATATATATATATATATATATATATATATATATATATATATATAAAATTAGGAGATCGGCTGTTTCCGCTGCTTTGGTTTCAACTTTTCGGTATCTTCAGGCAATGCCCGCCAAATGATTTCGTGGTGCTTTATTTTTGTAAAAATCAATGAACCCTTTATTATTCAAAAATAATTAAATAAACGCACGTCGTAAAGTGTGATATATAGGGTCAAAGGAGGAAGAGAAGAAGAAAAGCAAGTTTATTGGAAATGTATTGGTGGGGGAGGAGTAAATGAAATGCACTTTCTTTTCATCCTCGTTCACACGAACCCAAAAGGAACTTTTTAGTGTGTATGCAACGAGTCACAATTTCCGGTCTCTCATTCAAAATGTATTTTGTTTTGGAAATTTTGTCATTGATAACTTTTCTTGTTAACAAAGGTTGCAGATATTATGATGAGTGTTGTAAGCTTCTTTTTTTTTTTAATTTTCCAGTTTACAATCGGACTTTTGTTGTTTTTTTCTTTTAATTTCCACACTTGGTTGGCTAGTCTGGTAGAATTCCTTGAATGATGACTTGTGATTATATCACCTCTTCTTGAAGCTACCTTCAGTACACTCTATGTATACTTTTGTTCTGGCCATTTGTATCTATTACTTCTGCTTTATAAATTAATGCTTCAATTTTGCAAACCCCATCTAATGGATATCTACTTTTATTTCTACAGTTACATATTTCACTGTTAAGTGTGTTTTCCTGCACTTTAGTTTTGAAATTTCGAGCGTTTTGTCTTCTGTTGTGATTTCTTAATTACTAGTACAGTTGTAGCTGAATTTAACTGTTTTTATTAAATATTTTATGTAATTCGGAATTTATGGGGAAGTGTTTAGTATGTAATTTGAAAAATATTTTCCCTATTTTACATTTCACCTATAAATTTAACAGGGGTTAAACCAAATAATATTTTCTTTTCCTCGAATTGCTCTTTCTTTGTTGTTGTTTTTCAGGTTCAAATTCCAGTTTGGTTTTATGACCTTCTTCTTTATTAGTTTTTCATTTTCTTTTTTCTTTTCTTTTTATGCTAAATTTATGCAAATTGATAAACATTTCCTATTCGTTCTTTATCTTATAATTCTGTCGGGTTCCAATCCATATTTAATTTGCATTTAATCCTAACTCATAGGCAAGTATATGGAAGTGATTATGTATGAACACACGCGAGATTTATAAATAAACTAATTGAAATGTACCATACATACATATATTCATAGGGCAATGTTTAATGTATAAGTGAGTGTGCCCTATGTCTATGTTATTAAAATAGCTTTCGAAATAGATATATTTATATACATAAGTAGTCGTGGGAGCTGTTACGATTTGCTGACAACTTGCAGATCTGTATATCACGCAACAATCATTTACTGAAGACAAAACCAGCTTTTAAAACTATCGCTTTTACTCGTACTTAAACACTGAAAGTGAAAGTGAAAGGATAAATTTTACCGATTTAACTACCAGATACCTTTAAACAGAGAGTATGATATTAAATACAATGACTCGCGATGTTTTTTTGTGTGCGTGCGTGTTGAGAGGAGAGGTGTATACCGTTTTTATCAATATATAACGTTCCTCATAACTATTCATCTGCGAAAACGACAAAAAACATGGATCGGATGCTTATAAAAGCAGTAGCAGTTGCTTTGTTGCTATTTAATATATTACATTCTGTTGCGCAAGTCGTGACTCAAAATCCTGGCGTGTCACGCAGAAACCATTTGATATTAAGAATCACGTGCATACCTGTGCGCTTTGCCACATCTAAGACACTTACAAATATAGCCCAGTGTCAAAGCGAAGTGTTCGGAATTATAATCAAAATCGGTTCTATGTAAGAATTTGGATCCTCGCAAATCACGTACAATTGTCGTATACTGCGAATTTATTAGGTTGAGCCATAAGTAAATTCTGCCTTTGTGAACCAATTGGGATGACGAACTAGCTACTAACTCTAGGTTTGTAGTTAGAAAGTAGAATACACTAATATGCTTTAGGTTGATAAGACAAGGGACAAATAGGAAACGTTTATCAATCTAACATGTTTCACTTTTCTTAAAGCCTCGCCAGAGAATGAGAAATGGAGAAAAAGAAGAAAGAAATTCTGGCATTTTTACTTTTGTGTTGTTTGATTTTTATTGATCAAGAATGTTTTATGTTTCATAACAGAAACGACATCACTTGAGGACTTTCAAAAGCAACAACTAAAATAGCACATGTAACTCGAAGAGAAAATAATGACATAATCAAGATGTTGACATTCCACACTACTTGAAATAAAAGGTTAGGAAGGAAACTCCCAGCAGTATTGGAAAGAGTGATAACAGCTACAGGACTTGAGAAACCTATTTTCACGAAAAAATTTTTTAAGAGAAATATTTTGCAAAATTCAACCGACAATAGTACTGGCTGGTCGGTAATCAATGCCAAATGTTTCCTAATAAGAAAATGGATAATATTACCACTGGCATTACCATTTACACCTTTACAGCAGTATTATTAAGTAACCGTCTAATTTGAGTGGCTTTTGGGCCTTAGGTATACAATAGAACAATGGCAAACAAAAAAATGCATAAATCGATAATTTTTAATAAAAAATGACTGAATTGTGAGCAATGATATTATTATGGAAGAACAAAGGTCATAAAATGGATTAATAAAACTATAACAAAAAATAACGGTTTCTGATTAATGAATATGTTTCATAATACGATAGCGAGAAATTTTAAGTAACGAAAAAGACACGCTCAATAAAAATACTTTTTTTCTTCTTTTTCTTCTTCTAGAACAATCCCGACTTTGTCGATATGAGTTGCAGTAATCCTCATCAGGGCAAATCAGCCCTCGCTAGAAGCCGCAGTATTGATCATCAACTGGACGAAGAACGCGAACGAAGACAGAAGGAGGCCCAACTCCTGGTCTTGGGTAAGATTCAGTGTTGGCTTTTCTTCTTTGGTTAAATTGCGTTGCTCCTTTCCGTGAGACCAGCACAGTTGCTTCACTGTTGACATTAACTTTTTCGATTCCTTCCTTAACCGTAAAAGCATCGAGAAACGGCCTACGCAATATTATTTAACTAAAAAAAGAAGGAATTTATGCGAATGCCTGCCAATCTGTTGCGGGAATGTAACAGGTGGTTTCTAACTAGACAGCAACAAAATAAATTTATTTTCTTTTTTGTATCAATTTTAGAACGCTGGAAAGCTAACAATAATTCTTATATTTTTTGGAATGCCTGAGATAAAAGCGAAAAAAAAATTATCATTGATTTTTTTTTTCCTGTTTTTTTTTTTTTACTTGCAGCTTTTTGTGTGTGCATTATTCTTAAGGTGTAATAACAAGATTCGATACTGTTTTAATTGATTTCATTAAGTTTTCATTGAGGTTTATCGAATTTTTACTAAAAAATTAAATATTGTTGTTAAGTGGGGCAAGGAATAGCTTGTTCATTTTAACGCCTCCCAAATGAAACTGTTCTCTATTAATCGTCTAAGAGAAAACCGTTTCTGCCTTTCATCAGCATGGCATCCTAGGTACGATTAATGCATGTCAATTAATGCTAGATATTTGCTTCATTAATGGTGCTTTTTCATCCTGGGTATGACTATATACTACAACCGGCAGCAAGGCCTCTGATCGGGAGATTGGAGATTTTCAGGAACGTGAAATCACCTCGTAAATGCTGCTATACCCAGGTCCACCCTGACTCAGAATCGTAGCACCTGTTAGGGGTCCCAGCTATGAGCAAATAGCAAACCCCGAAAAATCAACTGTATATTTTATAAATTAAACCAGTACGTTTTTATAGCAAAAGGACAATCAATGCAACACTAAAAAAAATGTAAATATACATTTTTATAGTAAAATTACCAACAATACATTTTATGATCTACAAACGATATATCTAAAGAAATATACATTTACACTGAAAGTATAAAATTATGTACAAAATATTCGTAGTTGAAAGCATAAATTTGCGTGCGGAATGTTTAGATTTCGGCATTAAATAACCCATAGAGGTGTTGATATGCCGCTAAACAAATTCACCCAATCTCCATCAGCATGACTAATACTAACCCGCAGGAGAGTTACTCATTGCAGCTTCTCAGGCTAAAGTTTTCCACTGACATGAAGTGGAAAGATTATATTGCATCTCTTGCTAGGTCTGAAGCTAAGAAAGTTGGTTCACTGTGTCATGCTAAGACAATTCTTCTCGCCAGAATCTATCTTACATATCTATAAGTCTGCTAATGATTCTGGCTTTGAATATTGCTGCCACATCTGTTCTTGTTCCTCTACTATGTATTTAAAGATCCTATACAAAGAATCTGCAATATCATTCGTCCTGATCTGGCATTTCGGCTTCAGTCACTTTCCCACTGCCTTAATGTATCTTCGCTGTGCTTTTTCTATACATACTTTCATGGTAATTGTTCTGATGAAATTTCCTCTATGGCAATTATTGGGGTTTCATTTTTAAATGTTGTTATTTTTATTCCTCATCTCCACAGACAAATTGTACATATAGGAACTATTTAGGAATTCACAGAGACTTTGAGATATCATGGTGTCTGTAATAAGAATGGTACGTAAGAATGCATTGTGTTGGTGTAAAGAATAAGCTGGTATGTTTGGGTCAGTAATTGTGGTTAGCTAAGTTTATGATAAGACAAAATGAAGAGCATCTTTCCCCTGCTCCCCCTTTTGGCGCTGTACCCTATTTTTGTATTATAACAAAATAATTACTACTTTCCTCTTTGGTATCTAAGGTTCCTCAAATTTAAGTTTAATTCTAAAATGGCGGCAAGATGTCATTATTTTACTGTTGCAATGGCACCGTAAGTTCTATTGCTGACAGTTTCTTTTCTCACACCTCTCGCTTGTGGAACTCTATGCATTAAGCCCAACAATTACTTAGTATATTTTCTGTTTATACGTTATTATTAGATGCAATTTATTCAGGCCAGTAAATGAAATTAATACCGTTTAATTAAAAACAGAGCATTTACTTAAAATAAATTTTATCTAATAATAACGTATAAGCACTACACACACACACACACACACACACACACACACACACACACACACATATATATATATATATATATATATATATATATATATATATATATATATATATATATATATACCGGCCTGAATGTCAGAAATTTCATACAAAATATGTGAACTCCAACAGGACTCGAACCTATATCCTACACGGAACCGTCAGAGGAAGCGTTTGGTTAGTTTAAAATCAGTAATGCGACCTTGCTAACCAAACGCTTCCTCTGTAGCTAAATGGTATAACCCGTCAGGCTATATGACGATTCCGTGTAGGATACAGATTCACTTCCAGTCGGAAAAACATATTTTCTATGAAATTTCTTGGATATTCAGGCCCGTAAATGTAGTTAATACTGTTTATTATCAACAGAACATTTACTTAAATATTTGTATCGATAAAAAATAACATAAAAAATAAATAAATATATATATATATATATATATATATATATATATATATATATATATATATATATATATATATATATATAATCTTAGTCGAATTGATGTGACTATTAATATATACACTTTCAGTTTATATATTTATAAACTCGAAATATATATATGTATGCAGGGTTGTGCACCTGAGTATTAGCATATAAGTTAGAATGATTTTATTGATACTTGTGTTTGAAAGAAAAATCGATCAATTATTACAAAAAGTGTTGTGTCGTCAAGGAGAATTCATGACGTCAGCGCCGAAATGATGGGAAACGAGGCCATTTGTTTGATGAACACGCAGCTGTCGCTTCAATGTCGCCGGTGGCTGCCAGCAATTTGGTGCAAAAGGATGTTCCCGAATCTACGTTTGAGCTTACTCTTTGAAAAAGCGTAATTTACAAGTGTGCAATTCATTGAGTGCTAAAACGAATTATTTAGAAGGATTTAGCGGTATGTCCGGAGTCGTCTGCTGTTTTCAAAGTCGGAATATCTTCTTCTTCTTCTTCTTCTTCTTCTTCTTCTTCTTCTTCTTCTTCTTCTTCTTCTTCTTGTCCTCGTCGTCGTCCTCCTCCTTCTATGTGTTCTGTCCCTTCAAGACTTTGGTGACCATGGCCCACCACAATTTCCTGTCCTTTGAAGCTCTTAATATATTTTGTCTTTTTCTTATCTTTTTTTTTTAATAAGATTCACCCTGTACAAGGACCGGGGTAGAGGCCACCCGAGGTAGAGTGTTAGTTTAATGGGCAGTTTTAATAACTCTAAACTAATAGATCGGGGAAACATCCTCTTGGGAGTCTGTTCCACAGAGCAGTGATTCGCAGTAAAAAAGCTGTTCGAGTGGAACTTGTTTCTCACCGATGGAACACGGAGAGAATGTGGGTGGTTTGCTTCAAAGTAAGTGGCATAGCGGGTCCTTGCCGTGAAGGTTAAGCCTGGTGGAACCAAAGTATGTAGTTCATCCGAGCACATTCCATGAAAGTACCGATAAAGCAGCGTGAGACACGCTACATTTCGCTTGTGACAGAGAGCGTAGAGCGTGGAAAATAATTTGTCACCCACAAGGTCGCGGAGATGCTTTTGAACTGAAAACTGAAAAGTGAGAAACCAATCCAATTTACTCAAACTTGCCAGGTAGGTGATGCGTTGTTTACCCCAGTTCCTCTTGGATCCAATCTGCCCTGTGTGTATAAAACTTTCCAAACACTCTTTCCTTATTTCATCTGTCTCTTTCTGATGTTAAGTATACGTCTCCTTTTGTTTCCATTTTTTTCTAAAACTCACATCGTTGCTCATATGTTTAGTCTATGATATTCAGTTGCTTCAAGTCTCTTCTTTATATGTGAAGAGATTGTCCAGCATTCGCTGCCATATAGGACCGATATTACGTAACAGTTCATTACCCTTTATTTTTAACAAAATTTTCACGCTTCTTAATACTTTGCTTAACTTTTGGAAGGCAACTTCTGCTATTCCAGGACGCATTCGGATTTCAGTGTCGCACTATCACAGACATGCTGTTTACTATACTGTAAAGATATTTGGCATCTATTAGAGCGTAAGGATGTCTATTGGTCAACTGTTTAAGAGCATTGGGTGCATTGATGGGCCGGGCTGAAAAGTATCGCCCAGAACAGCGTCCGTTGGAAAGGTGTTGTTGCGGGCCTATGTTCCCTAAGGAATCAAGAGGCATAATAATAATATGTGAATTGAACTTTGCCCTATTGATATGGTCTCAGGTGGCCAAATTGGTAGCGGCACATTTCGCCTATAGATATCAGTTTCCTAGATGGAGAAAGCGATACAGGTTCGATTTGTGTCAGGAGGCACTATTTCTCGATTTAGGCCGATTTTTATTAATGCCGCTGTTTAAGAACAGTAAAAACTCGGATAGTAACTCAAACGCAGATAGCAAAATATATATATATATATATATATGAAGAAATATAGTTTTGAGGTGTGCTATATTTATGGGATAAAGTGTTCAATATCAGAGATAAAGCGTACGTAAATATAGATATAAAAATGAACATTGAAGTCAACACTCAGAGGCGACAGGCTGTTTACTGCTGGACGCAATCGTTTGGCCGCCTGACATATCTATATATATATATATATATATATATATAGGGAAGAGGTTATAGTTGTTCCAACAAGAGAAAAGTGTATAAAAAATTCATTTTTATATGTGGAAATACCTCGTCTTTGTTTGACAAAAGTCGCGAAACCAGAAATACGTGTAACAGAATTATGGAAAATAGCGTATAATATATGTTTTAAAATAAAAAAAACCTACCAAAACGTTTTCGGTTTATCTTCTTTTTAATATATATATATATATATATATATATATATATATATATATATATATATATGTGTGTGTGTGTGTGTGTGTGTGTGTGTGTGTGTGTGTGTATGTGTATGTGTGTGTGTTTCTTATTGCTATTAACTTTATATTTAGTGAATGCACATTTAATGAATCACACATATAGAGATGTATACTTTTAAGCATATGTTATATTTATAGGTAAAAGTGCCCAATATCAGTGATAG